TGCATCTGTATTCTATTCAACTGGTAACATACAAATGTAGTATGTAGCGTTGGTGGTGTAACGGTTAGCATGGTTGCCTTCCAAGCAGCCGACCCGGGTTCGACTCCCGGCTAACGCACTTTTTTTTCATTATCAGTTATATTTGTCTTCCCTGTTCTCTACATAATGACAGAAATGATCAAAACAATTTGGTATTGTTTTTTTTTGTAGATAAACAACATAAAATAACGTTGATAAAGGAGATAAAAAGATTATATATTTTTATTTTAATAAAACTCTCAAAAAATAATATATGTAAAAAGTATATAATAAAGCTAATAACGAATTTGATTTATTCAAGGTATTGACTTATTAAATCGCTTTTTAATCATTTAAATAATATTTTGAACCCTTTTACACTTAAAATATTTCATAAAACAAAAATCAAACATTGAATGGTGTACATTTTAACACAATTTTCCACCATTGTTTGATCATTACCCGTCCCTTTCTAAAAAGTTTTATCAAAATGATAATTTTTGATTAATTACGAAGTGTTTTTAAAGTTCTTGATTCTCTAGAATTGTGACACTATCTTTAGTAACAGTTCAGAATTTGCTTCTTTTAGACGGACTTGGATGACATATAAAAGAAAAAATGTTGTGTTATTTCGGAAAACATCAATAGCGATGATCTTAATAAGCCCTTTTCTGATAGTTTTAAGATCGATAAGTATTTGTTTTTTGACTGAACTGTTAACACCTTCAAATGTCAGTTAGTTTGAACAAGAAAACAATAGAATTTCTTCTTCAATCAAATTTAATAGATCTTCTTGTTTATTCTCATTTATTGTTTTAACATAGAAAAGCAAAAAATATCGAATAAAATTACATAATTTCCTAATAATATATACAGACGAGCTAAGATAAAACAAAAAAAAAAAGATAATTTTGACTACACAACATCTATAGGAAATTAGATGAAATTCTTTAAACTATAGAATATCTATGCATCTAAATTCTCTATTATCGTATTAAGTTAATGGTAATAATATATTTTGACTATTTGATGATGTTGATGCTCGTTTATTTGTTGATGATAATAGTCCTTTTCCACTAACAGTTGCTGCTTGTTTCAGACATTCTGAACAATACCATTTTCCTTTCGGAGCCACTTGAATATTGACACAGGGATAATGAAACCATTCTCTTGCACACATAGGATTATCACAGGCAATCATTTCACCGTACGACATTTCATTACAAAAACAATAACGACGTTCATCTACTTGACCAGATGATGAACCATGATGGTGATTGCCAGGATTAGCTTAAATAAATATTGATAAGAATCAATATAAAAAAATATTTCAATAACTTACTTGTTAGAACATTAGCTGCCTGATCAAAATCATCTTCGAATAACAATTGATGTTGTTGTTGATGTTGTTGTTCAATCGAATTTGAATTTGTATTAAAATAATCTTGTGTTGCTGATAGAGAAGTTTGTAGATAAGAACCAGATGATTCATCACTATCCGATGGTGGTAACATAAGATGAGATGATGAATCACCCAAATAGAAATTGTTTATATTTGTCGATGGTGTACGCGTTGTACTATTACGTTTACGTTTTGTTGTCGACGATGTACCTTGAAGACGTTTACGACCACGAGTAGATGTCGATGGAGTTGTAGAAGCCGATGTAGTAGTAGCATTAGGTTGACGAGAATGTTTTCGACCAGCTGCTGTACCTGCTGAAAGTCGTCTAGATTGTGGTAGTGGATACGGTGAATATGTTTGAGATAGTGTACCATTATTTGAATATTCTTCCGTTAAATCTTCTAATGTATCAAATAGTGGATCTAAATTAAATTCATCCGAGTCCGGAATCGAATTATAAATATCACCGCGCAATAAACCACGTCCTAAACAGCAAATAAATTAGAAAAATAATTTATCAGTAAAACAAAATGATAACAACTTTAACAGATAAAATTCAAATATAAGTTTAAGAAAGTTTCTAAATAGATAAGTCGAATAAGAGGTTACATGTACAAACTTTTAGAGACTCTCTAATTAACGAAAAAAAAAATATTTGTTTTCGATTAATGTTTGTCAAATTAATTCAATATTAGCCAGACTACAAGCACACACCTGTGCTCGTTTGAGTTTTGAGAGAAAACGTATCAGCAGAAGTTGACACTCGGATTATTAGAAGTATATGGCTTATGACAGTCGGATCTTGTCACTCACAATCATGTATCAACCAGCCACTCCTCTCTCCCTTGAATATTATACAGTTAACCCAAACTTTATTAAAATTCAAATATGAGCTTCAATTTTCATTTTTGAAAATCTATGTTTCTCAGCTGATCACAACCGTGAATTTAGAATTGTCCTTTAACATAGATGTTCTAAGTTTAATTGCTATTAATCTAACTTGGCAAACATTAATGGAAAACAAATGATTACGAATAGATAGTTTTTACTTTGACTAGATAATTCATCAATGTACGTACATTGATGAATTATCTAGTCAAAGTAAAAACTATCTATTAGTTATCTACCGTAGCAGCATTATGAACGTAAAAAGAAGTATAAATCCTCGTATAACTCTAGAGGTCACTACTCGTTAAAAGTAATACTGACTGTTAAAGTATTGCACAACTTTAATCGTTGTATATGATATATGACAGAACGTCAAAGTTTACTTTTGCAGTTTTTTCTGTAGAAGTGAAATTTGTTCGATTCTGTCTGTTGTCTGTACAAGGATTGCCTTTGTGTGATAAACTTTGCTTCATATTCATTCTATCAAACTTGGTATCTTTAATCGTTTACGTAAACTAGTCATGAAAAATAATCCACTTACTGGTAAGAATTGTGTTGGATGTTTTTCAGCAAGTCGTTTAGCAAGTAATTTAATGGCAAACAAAGCTGTTTGTGCTGTTTGTTCTTGATCGTGTGTATTGTATTTTGATGCAATATCAAGTAAAATATCAATATGTGGTAAGAATAAAACAACCTAAAGATAAAAAACTAATATAAATATAAATAATACTAGTAAATAGATTAATGAACATTTGTACAACAGATGCATTAGGTTCAAAATTAAAATGTGAATTTATATTTAGCTGAAATTAGTTCATACAAAATCATACCTCTTTTTCCAATACTTGTTCGTCTCTAAATCTGTTATTCATCATGTCGATCGCTTTACGTTGAATTTTCTCATTTTGATGTTGTAATAAATTTTGAATAACTTGAACAAACATTGTTCCATTTAATAATGATATAGCCTTAAAAGAACAAAGAGAATGTATAAATAAATCTGTTAAATGTAAATAGAAGAATAACAAACTTTATTAAAACAATCAAATGTTTTTCCTACAACACTTTTATTGTATTTATTGCTTTGAATATCATCCGTAGCACTCGTTGTATCCGCTAATTTATTAGCCCATAAAACACAACGTAGAATACATTCAATTAACGTATTTATATGATCAATAATATTCTCTTTACGAAGTTTCTCTGATTCTTTTATCTAAATAAGAATTTTGTTACAAGAGAAACGAAGATTTATAGAATATCAGACTACTTACTAGTTGAATAAAATAATCATCAACTAAAACATTGCTCACAAATGTAATCAATTGATATTTCAAAACATGAATGTGTTTCGTCGTGTAAGAACGAATATCCATCAAATGTGACATGAACAATGGTGTAGAATTATTTTCTTTAGAAAAAAACCTTAAATAGTATCAATTCATAATATAAATCTGATATTTCTACTTACTGGCTGCTTGATCAGGTAATTCTAGCACAACACGTAAAATATTCGTAAGTGCAATTATGATAGTAGTCACATTAAATTGAACAAAACTGGCTAACATTTGCTCACTGGCATCAATTAAACTTTTCTAGAATAGAACAACAGAAAAAGACAATTGTATTAGTATGATAATAAAAATAGACGATAAAAATATTACTTTTAATACATCTTCATTCTTCTTATTTAACGGCGATAATAAAACCGAATCAAATAATTGTATCGGTGCAAACCATAAACATTCATCTTGTCCAACAGATTCCATTAATAAACGAAATATATCTTGTCGACGATGGGCAGGTAAATGTGCTAACGATGTAACAAAGACATAGGATATTTTTGCCAATATTTGTGTTCTTTGTTGAGCATTTTTCTCCTTGATGAAAGCAAAAACAATAACAATTAATAGAAATTATATACAAACAAAAGGTGACAACACTAGTACTTTGTATAATGATGGTATAACTGTTTTTATCGTTTTTTCCATAACTTGATAACTATAAAGATCATCTTTGCGTACAAGACGATCACCAACAAATGCAAACATGGCCATAATCATATTAATCAATTTTTCCTTTAAAATAGAAGATAAGAATTCAATCAGTGATTAATTACACTTTTCTTATACGTACAGGAAATAGTTCAGCTGCTTTTGATAATAATAGTAGACATTGTTGAGTGGTATGTAAATCATTAGCACGTTTCATACATTCAATAATCATTTCACTTTGAAATGAATCTTGATTATATTTATCTAAGAAAGAAAACGTAATACAATCACCATTATTACAAATTCTAAAATAAATGACTATTTACTTGGTTGGAGTCGATTATAAACATCGAGAAGTCCAGTAGTACACAACTGACGAATATAAGTGTTCTGTTCCGAATTATCTTCATTAATTGATCTTAAAAGAGAAGCAAATACAGTCATTGTACAATAGTGATTGTTGTACTCTACTTTTCTAAAATTGTGAATAATGGTCGAATTAATTCATGTCGATTTTGCACATGAAAATTATCGATATGAAGAAGTTCTAATGATGGTATTAACTTTTTCCAATTTATTTTAATTATCGAACCATTTTCCTTTATTGTTTCATTTTTATCATTTGATGATATTAATTTTTTATTCGATAATTTTTTTGTTAATGATGTACTGTTGAAAGAATCATCTAAACAAATTGAATCGAATATATTTTGCCAAAAGGTTTTCAAATGTTTAGCATCAAAATGAAACTAAAAAGAAGAAGAAATGAATACGAGTATGATGAAAATGTAATTGTTCTTTGTTTACTTTCAATAGTGTTGCTTTAACTTCGGTAATTAATATGATTTTTTTTGAACGTTGCCAAATTAGAAAACATTCTTCAATTAATTGCATTTGTTGATTAAAATTTTTTGATAATGAGTTAAAAATAGCTTCATTTAACTAAAACAGAAGAAAAATAGATAGATAAGAGTGCTAAACAAGTGTTATAATCAATGTTACAAAGTACCTGTTTCAAAAGAATAACACCAATTTCTAATGTTGCCTGTTTTTTCAATTTTTTCTTTGATTGTTGTTGTTGTAAAATTTTAATAACAGTTTCAAAACAAATATTTGATGTTAGTTCATATTCGAATGTTTCTATATTAATATGTTTAATTATAAATGTTAGAAGATATCGATCAGTCAATGATAATAGTCGTTCATCTTCATTCACAATAAATTCATCAAGATATTGATGAAATTGTTCAAATATCGACCAATGTTTACAATCATTCAATAATAATAGTAAACAAATGTAAAGTATTTTTCGTATAGAATTATCTTGAATTTCATTGTCAATTGTTGTTTTTAATACTTTTATAATTGTTTCTGTATCATGTTTACGTTTTTTTGATTTTTTAGACGTTGTTAATTCTGTTAAAATTGTTTGAGATATCAATTTTCGTATATACGTTTGATCAACAACTATTTCATTTGAATGTCCTTTAACTGTAGTGAGAAATCCAGAGAAAAATGTCTCATTGTCAGCTGTTTGTTCATCATTCAATGATTTTAATATTGTCAAAATAAGTGAACGTATCTGACGATTATCGGAACAAAGAAGGATGAATAATGTCAGAATAGAATTATTTGAAAATGAACCATTTTGTTTCTTATTCTTCATCTGTGTGCATAAATAATTTAATAAATGTTCTTGTTCAATTGTACTTGTTATGCAGTTCATATCATAAATAAAATCATTATCTTTTTCCTGGGCTAATTTATCAAATAAATAATGTTGATTAAAAAATAGAAAAAATTTATCAACCGAAACAAATTGTTCATGACACAATGAACTGAGTACGTTTGATAACGAAAATTTTTTTGTATTTGAACATAACCAGCGAAGACATTTATCAAAAAACTCATTCCAAAATGAATTTGAAAACCAAAGATCTACAAACAGATGAAACAGGATCATTAAAAAATAGATCAAAAAGAACTTTAGATAAGTTTGACATGATTTAACAAAAAATACTTCATCCATACGGAAATCATGATTACTCACCTTTAGGTAAAACTTTGATAAAATGATCCCATAACAAAGTGTAGGACATAGATGATAAAGAAGATTTTTCAAACTGTTGTTGTACGATCACATTCAAATCTATTTTTGTTTCAAGTTGAATATTCCTTTCGTCGGTAACCGTAACCTAAACAGACATATAGTTACATCCAGAAAAAATCTATAACATTCTTTCATCTTATTATCATAATATTCAGTTCTTTCTTGATTACAATATGCATAATTATGCAGCTTACTTCTTCATGTAATTTTTTCAATAATTTAAATGTTGTCACTGATGCTAATTCAATGTGTTTCATATTCAACGTTTGATGTTCCTTTAAATGGGTACGAATTGCTTCAATAGCTAATGAAATATAGATAACATGATACTTAATCTTGTTTTTTCGATTATTGTCAACAACGCGAAGAATATTGTCATGCTGTTCTATTATTTTAAAGACAAATTCACTTTTTGCCAATGTATCAATAAACGAAGTATAAAACTCGTTGTTGAGATCTTTTACAGATTTTACATGTTTGAAACATTTTTCAATGATATTCAGTACTGATGGTTGATTATCTTCTGTTTTTTTAAGTTTATCAAGTACTGTTTTCAGTAATTTAAATTGTGATTGTGTTGTTGGAAAAAACAAATGGAAAAATTGAAACACTACGTTAGATCCCGTGACAGATAATGAACTATCAGCGAGTAAACGAACAATTTCTTGTTGCACTGGAAGCCTAGAAGAAAAAAAGCCATTATCTAGTAATAAACACTAAAAAGTCAACAGAACAAAGAGAAGTAAATGTCAAATTCATCCCCTGTTACAAACTGTTTGATCAACAGTGACTTCTATACACATTTAAAAACACCTTTCAAATCGCAGCAACGAAACAAGAGTTTGATGTTAACCTGACTTACCAGTTCTTTTCCGGTTCATCTTCTAGTTGTAAATTACGTTGAAGGATATCATTAATCAATTGATTACCAACTGTTATTGATGCTAAGTTTGTTGCGGTGCTTAAGTCACGTAATAAGTTAACTGCTTCTATAACAACCATTGGTTCATCATCGTTCAATCGGGAACATAAAACATCATTCAAAAATTCTTTTTCCATAATCTAAAAAACAGAAGAAAATTAGAAGAATTTTTCTTTTTACTATTTTTTCTCTTTACTTGTTTCATTTTAACTCCTTCTTGTAGACGCTGTAATGCTTCAATACGTAAATGTGTCTGAGAATGATTCAAGCAGACAATTAATGAACCACGATCCGATAACGGCTAAAAATATGATACAATTAATTTAATCACGCAGCAAAGCGTCTATTTGCTACATACTTGATGTTTAAAACCAGTGACAGTCATCGATGAAAAATGGCCAATACGTTTTCGCTCTTTATCCGTTAAACACTGTTCGACCAATAATCGAATGATAGAATCAAATTCAACGGGATATCTAAATACATACGTGTTTTAGAAAGGAGCTAGAGATGTGTAAAACACTACATACTTCCTTTCTAGAATAGATGCTAAAGAAATTAAATAACTTTGTTTTTCATCGTAATGTTCAATAAAACGTTCAATAATTATCTTCAAAACATTCGAATTTAATTTAATATCGGTTATAGCAGTTTCTAATAGTTTTGCGTATGAAATATTTTCATGCATATCAGTACTACTGCCACTGTCAGATGTATTATCTAATTCCATCGTATCATCATTTATATCGTTATTAATTGCGAACAAAATCAACTTTTCAGAAAATGCAACGAGTAAGTCATCAATAACAACTTCAGTGGTCAATTGAGAAATTTCCACAAGTAAATTTGGTAATCGACACAACTTTTTAAAACACCTAAAAGTAACAGCTGAGTTTCTCAGTAAACAAAGACATTAGAGTATGCTTGAATGAATACCTTTCTGGTAAAGAACGATAATTTTGTTTATTAAGTAAAACGGCGGTCACTAAAACTCCTTCCTTGACAATGGTAGCAGAATAGCCCTAGATAGCAAAAAACAAAATGATAGCGTTAATAAAAGTAGCTAGAAGAATCACGATCTTTTTTAATGGTAAAATTACCTTTGCTAATACTTTTAATATATCCTCGATAACATCTTGTTGAAATGTGAATGTTTCCGATAAATGAGATAGTACTAAATACGTAGCGCGTTTTAACAATAGACACTTTGATTTTAAACCTTTTAATACATATGGCATTAGATTAGAGATAAAATTTTCATCGATATCATTCTTTTTCCGATTTACACTCATATTATGAATGATAGTTGAGCATAATGTTTTCAAATAAAAACTGATCATAACCCGAAGAGACGAATGATTTGGACCAAAATCCTATAGTGGAAAAAAAAATGAAAGAAGCATGGTTAAATGGAAAATATGAAAACTATTATTTTACTTTGACTGCCATCGATATCATTTCACAAACGAAATTTAGAAAACCAAAATCTGTTGCACATCGATTTGCCAAAACAATGCCAGGTATCGTTGTACCAGCTTTCTATAATATGAGAAACAAAAGAAAATCTTAGTGCTTTGCTAGAAAATAAATTGAAGTACCTGCGCCAATGAAAGCCATGACCACATCGTTGTATGTTTACTATTAAATCTCAACATTTGAATTGCACGCACAAAATAATTGTGTTCATGATAAGGTAAAATACATCGAATCAAATCATCAACATTATAAAAATGAATATAGAATCTGTGAAATGAGAAAAGAAAAGAAGTTAAATAATAAATCTAGTAAATAAATTCCTTTTATACCTATGCACAAGCCATTCTAATGCTTTGTGAGCTGGTTTTAATAGAAAATATGGCGATAATCTTATCAAAAAACGTTTTATTGTTTGATTTAGTGAATCATTCACTTCCTTAGTTTGAATACTACGTTCAAATGTCAAACTGGTGTCACTAAATAATACTCGTCCGAATTCCTCAAAACATGAATCAATTAAACATAATTCTTCGAAACCATTTACACCTATGCAATGCAAAATAACGATTATTCTAAACATAAAGGTAAATTGTAATATACTCACCTAAACAATAAACGGTTTCACGATCAAGTGTTGATGCTACTTTTGGATCATATAGAAAGGATGCTCGTTTCTGTGAATCTGTTTCTGATAATCGCCATTGAGTGTGAGCGTCGGCTAATTTATTTAATTGTAGTTTCAATGACGTCATGATCTAGAATGAAAACAATAATAGGAACTATCTTCCATTTGTTGAACAAACTTCAGTTCACATTGTTTCAACTTTTAAATACCACAGCAGCTGAGCACTCACTCGATCACGAAGAGAGAACTTAAAACTGAGCTATATTCGTATGGAACCACAGAAAACATTTTACAGAATGTATCAAAAGCGAGAGAGTTACAAGACAATCATGCAAAAAACGAAATAACGGCGAAAGAGAACACTTCGAACACCAGAAATGAAAAGAGACTGACTTAGAAGAGAGAGGTAGTAAAAACAACAGAATTATGGAAAAAAGAAAGCTGTACATTAAATATGTAAATGAGCGCAGGATTCATTTCGAAGAGTTTACCCAAGCAAAAACGACCCAATTTTTTGGGTTATTTATCTAGATTCAGCTCCACGTGCATCTAGATGTACGTGGAGCTGAATCTAGATAAATAACCCAAAAAATTGGGTCGTTTTTGCTTGGGTACTACTGTTGATGATACTTCATTAGCTGGGTGGAAGTTCCAGTCAATGGCTACTCGATAGAAGAAGCAAGAGGATATATGTTCTTTACCAATGATGTATACTGCTCTCACAGTCATTCATACATCTAAAGTAAAAATGAGTACTATGATATTCAACTCACACTGTTAATTACTATTATCACTGAGCGATTGACCCTTCACTATTGGACATCAAATAGCTAAGAGGCACAGCAATGCACAATTATCAACAAATAGTACAGATGGAGAAAACAACCGGGTCACCATTTGAAGATCATTATATTATGTTAACGAAATCAAGAACGATCTGTGCGATCAATCGATTTCATTAGTCGAACGGATGAACCAATAAAAGATCGTTACGAGAGAAGCGCCATCTAAGTCTTCTTGTCTAATCGATAGACTTCGATTGAAGAAATCGATCAGCTCATGTTTCCTAAAGCAACGGGTTTTAGAAGATCGTTTAGTATTCGAAAGAAGTAGAAGGCGATTACTATTTTTGCTTTATCCTTTACCAGCTTACTGTTTGTTATTTGTAATACAATCATTTTCATTTCCATTACTTTGTTCGTCGTCATTCGAGCATTGATTTAGAATTTTTATTCTATCCTAAAAGCCAAAAGTTAGTTTCCATTAGAAACCTGGCTGTTATTCTCTTGAACATTGCGCTTGAAGATTGATGGCAGCTAGGATCGTTACTATTACTGCCGTCATAGAATACAATTTGGTACTCTTACTCTCTCTCTACTTAGATCATTAGCACCTGGTAAGCCTGGGATTGCACCTGCCATAATCACAGCACGTATGATTGCCCGTTCCATCACAGGTGCTGCTAATGTCCCAATTAATGTCACATCACTAACATCTACTTTTCCCGTCGCTAAAGTAAATATAATATCGCCATCATATGCTGTATGTACGTGATTGATTGCGCGTGCAAAACCGTCATAAGGCATTTGAGAAATTTTTGTAGTTTGGATTTGGTTAATTTTGCATTTGTTGCAATCACACCTAGTGTTGTTGCTGGATCATCACAATTAAATACGTCACATAATGGTAATTGATTGTCAATTACAGCTTGAACAATATTAAGTAAATGCTTACCATCAGATGTTCTGGTACCAGCTATGATCTGTCTATTAGTAGAATTGAAAATATCACCTAAAGCATTTACAGCAACAAGGGCAGCCACTGTCAACGTTTTACTTGTTTTCTTATCAGTCAGACTCAGCGATGTTGTACCTAATTCAGATTTCATTGCAAATTTCATTCCCACAAATTTTTGAACCGTTGCACCAGTGCCAGTACTCACCCTTCGTATAGTCTATCCATTGATGGGTTTAAACGGGCTTGATAACCAGCTTCTGTACGTTCAGACAAATAGCGAACTGCACCAGTTGCTGCATTAAGACCAAAAGTGCTCCCACCCCACACGACAATTGCATTAACACGATCCACTTCATTAATAGGATTCAATAAGTCCGTTTCTCGAGTGCCAGGAGCTGATCCTCTCACGTCACACCACCAACACATGAAGCGTTGCATAAAATTACTGTACAACTAGTTGGTCTTCTTGTGTCACTGTAATGTCCAACATGAATACCAGCTATATCTGCGATAGCGCCAAGATCTGGACGTATTGATTCTTCCTTTAGAGATAGTCGACGGTTTTCGAGTGGTTTACACAGCATGGGAAGTTAATTAGTAGTAGGTATGCACCAGTTACAGTTTTTTACCAGTTAACTGTAACTGTCAAAACTGTAACTGCTCATAACTGTAGACAAATATTCTAGAGTGAATTAGTCTTCTACGATTTGCATACATTTTAAGGATGTCTCTGTTCTTAAAATGTCTCCAAATCGTAGAAGACTAATTCACTCTAGAATATTTGTCTACAGTTATGAGCAGTTACAGTTTTGACAGTTACAGTTATGACAGTTACAGTTTTATAGTTATACAGTTACGACAGTTACAGTTATAACAGTTACACAGTTATGACAGTTACAGTTTTACAGTTTTACACTTAACTGTAACTGGTGCATACCTAATTAGCAGTGTCATTGATGTCATATATTAAGAAAAGCAGAAAGAAAACTACTTGACAAAACGACGTGAATGCGCAACGTACTGAATTTTGCAGAGTAGAAAGTTGTCTATCTCTTGAATCTACAACGAAGGCCTGGAATCATATGATACGCCGAAAAACCTTAGGCACAGAAATTATCTGACTTCGAATCTGTATAACTATTCGACCAAAGAGAGATACAGTTTTGTTTAGCCCTGAGTCTTTGATTGTTTAACGTAAGTATTCGACTACTGATTTAGAATTTTTATTCTACCCTAAAAGCCAAAAGTTAGTTTCCATTAGAAACTTGGCTGTTACTCTCCGAGAACACAGAGTCTGTGCTTGAAGATTGATGGTAGCTGGGATCGTTACTATTACTGCCATGATAGAATACAATTTGGTACTCTTACTCTTTAGATCATTAACACTTGGTAAGCCTGGGATTCCATCTGCCGTGGTCACAGCACGTATAATTGCTCCTTCTGTAACAGTTGCTGCTAATGCCCCAATGAACCATATTCACATCCTGATGACGTCGCTACATATAGGCACTGTTTTCTTGCGTTCTATAAAATAAAATTCTACGAGGAAAACGAAATTAAAGTTAAATATCATTTTCTTATTATATTATCAACAGAATTAACACTACGTCGTATCAAATTTACATTACACATTCGCGTACTGTGGTCAACAAGTAAAAATCATAAAATTGCGAAAAATTTAATAAAGTAGAATAATTGGAAGGTGAGTACCAACCATAAGGTAAGTATTCAGAAGTGTTCGTGTCAGCTATAACTATAACGGTGATCTATTTGAGGTAATATTAGAACTGCAGTACATTGTACAAATTACTCTATTTGTTAGTTGTTATTTTACTCTGCACAGTGTAGAAAAAAGTGTGTGTCTGAAAAGGGCGATTCCTATTTGCCACACTTCCTTTTTGAATCGGTTTCAAAATGTTACTTTCACGTGCACTTTTAAAAACGTTCCAAGAAAAAGTATGACAAATAGGAACACTACTTTCAAGATATACTTTGACAAGTGTTCTTTCTTAGCACAATTTTGACAGTGCCTCTACTTGAAGTGCTTTCCTACTGTGTAGCAGGTTCTGTTCGAAACTAAACAGAACTAGATGCCAACTATGCTGCGCATAGATTGGAAAGTCGACTGAGTGAAACAGTGAACAGACGAAATTAGAAGATTCAGAAACTCAAAACAGTCTGACTATTTCTCAAGAAGAATTCCTATATTCCTATCTCAGCTGATTCATTATCGTGTCATTACTGCTTTTCACTCAGAAAAATTCTTCTTTCTTTCCACACTGTGTTTTCTTGTTCGAGTGAGACACTCGTTCTCAGTTATTTCTCATCGTACAGGTTTGCGAAAAAGATAAAACGAAAGTACAGGGATTGTAGATCACACATCTGAAGTTAGTTGTCGGATATTTGCTTTAGTTATCATATAATTAGTGCCACAAAATGAGTATATTTTTTACATCACTCTGTCGTTTCTGCCATAAGATAATTAATTGTCACATGATTCACTTCATAGTGAATATATGCTACAGTACTGGATATGATGTAAGCTATACTATATTAGAACATATAAGTCTCCTTGAGTTTCACTCAGTCGATTTAAAGAAGAATTTTTTGTAGTGAAACAGAATAAGCCTCTCCGAGTTTCACTCGGTCGGCTTAATGAGGAAGGTGCGTGCAAAAAAACAAGAAAAGGAAAGACTCGAAGAATATTTAGGCGCTTTTCGCCAAAAGGTTTTTGAGTGTCACTGCAGAACGAAAAATGGCAGAAAATGGAAAAATTTTCCCATCCACGTTGTGTTTAAATGCCAGATGCAAACAAATGAATGTTTGTCTTCTAGGTTACATGGAAGTTAAAAAAGTTCTTGAAGAGTCCTGAAAAACAGGACTGGTTTCTCACCCTATATTTCAAAAGAAAGAAATAAAATGAGAGTTTTACGTGAAGAAGCAATCCAACGTTTCGTGTGGAATACAGATCAAAATAGGCGTTTTCTTTCTCTCTCAAAATTTATTTAGACTTCTGTCGTCCTAAAAGTATACTCTATCCTCGTCTTTCTAAGAATACTGTATAAATCAATTTTCATAGGTGATAAAAGACTTAGTTCGAGCTATGTAATTTTTTCTTCATTTCATAAAAAAGGCGTTAATATAACACAAGGAAACAAAATTATACGAAGTGATAATGATGATAATGAAGGAGAGACTTAGACCTATACCAAAAAAATTACATCAGTTTTTTTATTTATAAGTTTACCATTTGTTGCTTCATTTAAAGTGTATTCAAACTACAATAAGTTAAAATAGAACAAATACCCGTAAACAGATGCTTATAAACAGTGAAAAACTTATTCTAACTTATTTATTGTACTTTGAAATCAACAATTTTCGATCAAAGTACATTAGTGTTTTGTTCTTCAACATTAAAAAGGCGAAATCATTCAAAAAGTGTTCCTTCGCCCGCACTTCAGAGCTGGCCTTTTATCAAACGTGTTCCACGTTAAGACAGTTTCAAAAGTGCTCTTCTACTTCTCGTGTTAAAAATTGAAAGTTCTTAGAAGTATTCTACTGTGGATCACTTTCAAAAGTGTTGCAATACTCATCATTCTAGAAGTGGCCTTTTCGAAAAGTGTCCCGCGGAAAAGCGGTTTTAGGCACACTTTTTCTTTTACAATATATAGAGAGAATGAGAAAAAAAGAAAGAAGGAAATGCCAGTCTATCTTTAAAATGAATAAAGAACTGGGAGAAGAAATAAAAATATCATAATTAGACAGACTATGGGTTCTCTTTTATCGGTCTCATTTTCTCTTTCGCTTTTCTATATTTCAAACAAGAAAAATATTGTCTATAGAAGAATATTGTACACATATAACATATAGTCTATAACCAACTAAATATATGTTCAATTGTGGAGGTGACACAGTTTATTTTATTCAGAATATGTACACACGCAAAGAAAGACAGAAAAATAAGGTATATTGAGTTCAAACTTACGGTAAGATACAAAGAATTTTTTTGTTTCCTTTCATCTTTCACCCAATTTTTTAATTTTCAAATAGAACAAAGAAATAAAACTAACAAGTAAATTATATACATACTTCAAGGTTTCATATTGAAGGTGTGAAGTGAATATTTTCGAAAGTACCATGTCAAAAGTACGAAACAGTTAAGAGAAGTTGACATAACAAAAATAGAATTACCAATGTCGAAAGAGAGTTCTGCTTGAAGAAAATTAAATAGTCGAAAATGTTTTCATACAATAGTAAATGATCTCCGACACAATAGTCACAGAAGGAGAATGCCAATTTCCTAAATCACAAAAGCTACCATTTGACTATTTTCACTTTCATCAGCTAAAATATGTAATGAGAGATTTTCGGTTCGAGAACTTTGTCAGTTCTAATTAGAATTAAAATTCGCGTATACAGTGATTCAATACTGTATACAATTGATAACGTACATTATCGATTGCTAAGGATTTAAATCTAAAAATTTATTATGTACGTAGAATTTTTTTTAATCTTTTTCGGATCTTAAATTCACTTTTATGTCGCGTAGTATGTCTATAATATCTTTTTTTTCTATGTACAATTTGTTCAAATGGCAGACATTAAATTTATTTTCTTTAACTCCTATTTATATACCATCAAAGAGTCTGTGATATGTCATTGAGCGGTCAATCTATAACCGACAAATTTATTTCCTTAGACAAATGACTTTTTTTTTTTACATATGGCATGTTCATTGTCCTTATTGAAAATGTAATTTCTCCTTTTAAATAAAGAGAATAGGACAAGGTGTTAATGACAAAAAAAATCTATGATAAAGATTTATTCATATCATGCTGGTTGTATGTTTTCGCTCATTTTCTCAACTGAGAATTGATTTTTAATAGAAACGCCATTGTCCTACATGTGAAATTTTATTAATTTAAATAATTTAGAAATATGTATAGAACAAAAATAGTAGAAAAACTCAGAAAACATCATGTGCGTGCAAAACATTTCAGAATTAGTTTTATTACTCCACAAAAAATATCCAAAGTATATTTCTAATAACGGTTTTTTGAGGTATAGGTTTGGTAAGTCTAATTTGATCAAAAAAGTCATAAACAGTTTTTTTCTCTCTATGTCGACAAGAACAAATACAATGATTAGTTATTAATGAATTAAATAATAAATATCTCATGTACTCTACATAAACAACATTATTTATAGTCAGTTTTTATCTTCCACTTACTTCCGTCGTTTGATTAAGGGTGGCCGGCCTCTCAGAAATAACAAAATTATCTTTAGAACTTTGGAATTGAGATATGAACATGTCTTCCTGCAAGATTTATTAAAATTTAAGTTTAGTACAATCGAACACACCGGCTTCATTTTTCAATAAGATTTCTAAAAGCCTTGAAAAACTAACTTCGAAAAATCTGTGCTCT